TTATTCTTATGACGGTGGATTGGGAAATATTTTCACGGTTTGCAATAAAACGAGAGGAATATCCTTCTTGAAGAAGGTATAAATTTGGGCTCTTTTTTCGATGGGGATATGAGCCATGATAATTTGAATGGCATGGGATAAAAGAGTTTATTCTTAGATGTATTTTATATATAGGGTGTGTATTGTTTTTTTTGACGTAAATTAAGACCAAATAAATAAAAAAAGGCGTCATGTCACGTGATGACAAACCAATCCAACCAATAAGAACGCGCAAAAATTCTGCGCAACCAATAGGAATGTAGTAATTTTTGATCAACCCGGCAAAACAAATCATATTTTAATGGACCTATTTCAGATCACATGACCCGACACCTTTTTTTTGCCACTATTTAAACTAAATCGATATGTGTTGAATTTCATATGTTTGTGACGTTTTATTATTAAAAATTGACTTTTACTTTTTTGAGCGCCACTGTATACATGTAGTAATAATTATGAAAAAAGTACATGTATGTATACCGGAAAAAAAGCATGTGATTGACTGTATACCGAAAAAAAAAAAAATTAAATGGCTGATTACCAAGGGCCAATAATTTTGACACGATTAATTTTGCCTTTGATATGAATATTTTATCTTGACAAGATGATAAACACGCATTCCACACACCATCTTGTAAGTTAAGAAAATAAAATAACTGAAAAATGGCTCAACCTCATAACTCAATTGACTTTGACGATGTTAGTAAAATAGAAACTCGATTAGCAGTCAATGAAGATTCAGTTTCACCTCCGCCAGTACCTCCACTTCCACCTCCATCGCACGTTGAAATAAACAACTTGAACTTCAATTCTTGGTCACTACGCTCCATCAGTGGTGCCGGTGTCAGAATTACTGACAATATTTCGACTTTTGCGCAACTTTCTTTTAAGCAAGGTACCAATACTGGTACTTTTAAGTGTGCTTGCATCGTCGTTCGGTTTCCTGCCTCTTAGTTTTTGTTCTATAATAGATGTCAATTCTAATGCTATATTTAGATAGTTCTACATCACCTACTTCACAAAAAAACCTCGAAATTGAGCTGCAAAGGAAGCAACCAACTGTCGGCGCCTCGTCCTTTACGCATTACGAAGGCCTACATAAATCGAGTTCCACCCCGTCGCGAACTCCAAACTTAAGTAACGCTTGGGAGTTTGCAGGGTGGGGTTCAACATCTTATTTTGATCTTCCCGAAGATGAAACAGCTGAAGAGGGAACTTTACACGACCATTTACTTGGTCAATGGCGAGCTGTCAGTATATCAGGGAATGATCTTTTGGCGTCTGTCTTGTATACCGTTGGAATTACAACTGTAGTCTCGGGCAAATATGCTCCTTTATGTTTCTTAATTACTGCTATCACTCTTTATCCATTCAAACAAATTTTAAGTGAAGTTGGTACTGCGTTACCACTTAATGGTGGCGTGTACAATTGTCTACTTAACACATCGGCAAAGTGGTTTGCGTCCATTGCTGCTGCACTTTCATTGTTAGATTATATAGCCACTGCAGTTGTCAGTGGAGCATCCGCAACCGCATATCTATCCAGTCAAATCGAATTATCGAATATGGTAGTTTTCTGGATGACAATAGGAGTATTTCTTGTATTCGCCGGGATTGTCTTGATGGGACTCAAAGAATCTTCTACAATAGCTTTTGCTATATTCAGTATACATTGTTTCACGTTGACATTGCTCATGATAGTTAGTGTTATTCGGTGGTGCATTCAAGGAAATGGTACCTTAATCGAAAATTGGAAAGATCCTGGCTCGGGAAATGCCATGTTCGATATATTTAAAGGTGTCTGTGTAGGATTATTAGGTACCACAGGATTCGAAACCTCAAGTAATTATATTGAAGATCTAAAACCCGGCGTGTTTCCAAAGACAATGCGCAATATGTGGGTGATGGTGTTATTTTTTAATGCACCTATCTCGTTACTTTCTATCGCTATTCTACCACTATCGACCTTTTACAATTATCCAAATAGCGTAATATCAATCATGGGAGACCACGCTGGTGGTAAATGGCTACGTATAATAATAACTGTCGATGCAGTGATTGTATTGTGCGCGGGAGTATTAACAGGATTCGTTGGGGTAACCGGACTGATTGTGCGAATGGCATCTGATCAGATTCTACCTCGATTTCTATTAAAGAGAAATCACTTTACTGGCACTAATCATTGGATAATCATATGTTTTCTCATTCTGTGTATTACTTTGTACTCAGTAGAAGGTGGCAATGTCACGTCATTAGCCGGCGTATTTTCCGTGTCCTTCCTAAGTGTACTATGTATGTTTGCAATAGGATGTATTCTATTAAAGTATAAACGTGGGCGTTTATATCGACCTGTACGCACTTCTACTGGCACTGTGATTTTCGGATTAGTATGCGTGACTATTGGGTTAATAGGGAACATTATTCTTACACCATCGATCGCACGGTACTTTACTATTTATTTTTGTATGATGTTTGCCGTTATGGTGTTTCAGTTAAGTCGGGTGTGGGTATTAAAGGTATTATTGATTCCTTGTTTTAATTTTACAAAATTTACGAGATATCGATTTTTAATAACAACCTTTATTTTTGATTGATGATAGACAATATTCTTTTACCTAGACAAAATTCTAATACTCCATAAATACGGAGACATCATAATAAAAATGATAAAAAACCTAAAGGAACAACCAGTCATATTCTTTACAAAAACGGATGAATTACATATTCTAAATAAAGGTATTAATTGTTATTGTTGTGAGTTTGGATAGGAGAAAACACATTGTCATACAGATTTCTAATAATATGTGTAATAATATTGCACGATAAAAACGTTGGTGGTGATTATGATACGCGCGAAATTTAGCGATACTCTATGTTGATAGGTCAGAACATACCGGATATTTAAAGTTAATTCATCTGTATGAGAATATTGAAGATGTATGAGTATTATTTTTTTTCGTATTGTGTGGAGTAGTGGTGATGGTCTTGTTCTGGCGAGATTGTTTGTTCCTCATGTATTCTCTTTTTTTTTGTTTCTTGTTTTTACAGATACCTACACAACTCGAAGTGAATCATCGTGTCCTTGATGAGGTTTATTTTTAGTTTTTTTTTTCGCTTTTTCAATTTATTTATTAAACTTTTCAAACATGATTAACCGTGTGTATTTTTTAATGTTTAAAATTAATTACATAGCTTTACCCAAAAATTCAAATAGACTTGGTAAACTCTTTTAATTTATTAACGATTTACCAAACAAGACTTTTGAATTATGACTTCTCATATTGTTTATGTTTTATCGGAAAAAAAACAGATATTCATCCAAGGCACGTTCAATCCAAAAACTGTAGACAGCATATCGCGGCACCTACGCGTTCCCAAATCGTTAATGTTTATTTCATGTCCGGGAAAACATTTCTCGCATTCCATTGGCGAGTACGGAGGGATTAGGACGATAATGTTGTGAGGAAAGAGGAAATTGCACTATAATAGTACTGACAGTAATTGTAGTTGTATGGGAAACGAGGTATACATTACGAGTTTAAAAAATCAAACTTGCAATTTTTGAAGATGGTTATGATTAATTTTGTATTTTTTGTACATGTTATCAAATACAATATTATTAATTTACAACTACTATACAAAAGCTATATATATATGTAATAATGTACATGAAGGAACTCAAATAAAATGTGCTAAAAGAATATAAAACAAAATCCAATACAATTATAAAGATATATTATTATTCCAAGATTGCATTTGTTTCTACAGCAATAAATAAATACTACCACCACGCCTCATCATCACTTGCCGAATTCAGACCATCATCATCACTTTGATTATTATTAACATCATCATCACTCATATTTTCTGTGTCTATTTCTTCAAGATCTTGTGCCTCCTGCAATACAAAAAATGGTCGAGTTTGAGGGTTGGGTCGTCGCCCAAGTAAAATGTCTTGTCCCTGGACTAATCGTTCTCGCCACGTCCACTGCACACGACCTAACACAATATTACTATCCCATGTATTATCACTATGACTTCCTTTTTCACAATGCTCATCATTTCCACCACCTCGTCTTTTCTTTCGCCCTTTCCCCCTCACACCACTATAAAAAATAACATTGTTCAGATAGAGATAAACCCGGTTCAAAACGCCAGAATGCAAGAACCCCGCTTTCCCACCATTCTTCCAACACCCGCGCCTCTCCAAAAACTCTTCCAACTTGGCACGTATCATCGGTCGATAACATATACTCTTTCGATACGTTGGCGAGAAATCTTGCGGATGCTGCGACAAATACGGGATCTCGTGCGCATTTTTCCGCCACAGGTCATCCCAAAATAGGAACCACCATTGATGCACGCGCGACAGGTTCACGACGCGCATTCGTTCATAGAGGTAGACGAGAGCAGGGTACTCCGCTTCGGGGATTGAATGGATTAAGGGGTTTTCTTCGGTGGACATTAATAACGTAGGAAGAGATTCTAGTGGAATGGATGGGTTGTCGTAGATATTTATGAAGAAGGCGTAAGTGAGAGTTTCTTTTTTGTGGACTGCTTCGTTATGGTAGAATTTGCGGTATTCTTTCATTAGTTCACGGATTTTTGGGAATCCTGATTCAATAAGTTGGCTGTTGTCGGAGATGAGTCGTTGTAGTTGTGGAGTTAGTGCAAAGTCTGATGTTATACCTAGAATGTCGTGACCAACTGCGCGTTCATGCGGTGGTGGTGGTTCTGGTGATATTTCTCTGTCATCAGGACCATTTATTTCACCATGATCTGTATAAGTGATGGTAACCTCGAATCCAGAATTCATGTTTATACCTCGCCATCGAGATCCTTGTTTACGTTGTATTGACAAAAGACCTCGGTGATAATGCATGCCAAAGCTTGAACGCTATTTATTTTAAATATTATTAAATAAAAAATTATAATATATATATATATATATAAAATAAAAAATCATAACCTACCGCATTATGACCACCACCGATATCAGAACAAGGACCTACAACAATCTTTCCTTCCAACGCCCTAAGCATCTGCCTAACCCCACGTCGTCTCTCAATTTCTCGATCTTCATTCTGTCGAATATACCGTTCGATCTCCCACTCCTTAGTAAGCGTCACCACTGAATCATCTTCATCATAGACAAACACCACCGAGAACGGAAACGGCACGACATATGCTTTCCCGAAATACGTTTTCAGATTAACCATCAACATTTCCGGCGCGTAGTACATATCCGGACCTACAAAATTATTGTAGATTTTTAGTCTCATTATCGCAAGAGCCTCGGATAATGGGGCAATTGATGCATTGTATTGTTTTATCCCGATGTGTTGGATTACTTTTAGGTTTTCGATATGTCTTTCGGCGACTGAGCCGCTGAAATTTAGGAGATAGGGAGGTCGATACGAACTTTGTGAGAAGGCGACTATTTTTTTCTCGGGCATTTTGAATTGGTCACAAGTTAAAAGAAGCGTGGTCCATGTCTCTTGCCATATCCGCCGTTTAATATGTTTATTGAAATCCAATTTCGGTGAATAGATATTTATCGAAAAATCCAATCGTTGTTGCATATTCTTTACGAAACTCTGGAATCGATCAGTCTCCTTGATCACACACCAGACCACCGCCACTCCCATTGTATAATTAATGACAGTTATCACAATAAAGATTGCATTGGTAGATCCAACCTGAAGTACGACAAATAATCCCAAAAAACTTGTAATCATGTAGCCAAATCTCGACCAATACTCGCTGATATTTTGACTTTCCAAAAGAAATGGCTGGGTTCGCCAATGAATGAGCAACAAAGTAAACATTAGCGTGATTTGCAATGCTTGTCGTATTGTTTCGATTCGCGTGCGTCCAAAAGAGCGAAATAGACAATTGTCTTTGGAGATGAGCACTACTAACAGTATAAGGAATATTTTATTGACCATGATGAAGGTTTTGTAGGTTGCCCATCGTTGATGGTACCCGTTATAGAGAAAATTGTAGGGGCATGTGTCTTTGTCTAGTAATTCTTTGTAATCTTTGTCGATGTCTTTTCGAGCTTCACCCATTTCATTGAACTTGTCGACTCTTGGTAGATTTTTGTCTACCAGACGTTTCAATGCTATCGGAAACCATACAGTCAACACTGCAAGATTTAAGAGTGCTATTGGAATAATGATGAATGCGAAATTTAAATCTTGCTTTCGCATACTAGTCACATAGCAAAAATCATCGGGAGCTCGATAAGTATCCGGTGAACCGAGTGGAGTGAATTCGGGACTATCAGTAGTTAGATATGGATTTGTAACAGGCCAAAAAGTATCCGACCATACAAGAGCGTCAATCGAAAGTTTTGATAAAGGCAAATACAAAGATGTGATAACAAATACCACCACGATATTTTCCTTTTTACTTCGTTCTGGACGAAGATTCCAAGGATAGGATTCTAATCCCTCGACGACTTCATTCGGGTCATGCTTTGTCATCTTTCTAAACCAATAGAGCGCCGCAAAACAAATTAAAAAAAACGCCAACAAAAAAGCAAATCCGTTTCCAAACACATTTTGAAAGTTTAAACTAAACAAATTCGGCAGTGTATCCAATAAAGTTTGTAGCCAAGTTCCAAATAAGTTTGATGTGACAAACGACAAAGTTAACGTGAGAAGCTGTATAAAATCCCGAAATATTTCCAATTTCATCATATTAATCCCATACAATGATCCTTGAGCGCCAAGTACTCCGTCGATACCAGCAGAAACTATGTCATTTTGCATCCGCTGGTTACTTTGTTTGTTATTGTTCTTTAGGTCATCGAGTGAAAGGTCATCGGGAATCTGATTCATTGGCGGAAATATATCCGTTTTGTAGAACTTAAGTTGTCCTATGAATTTTTGGTATTCTTCATCGGTCATTATGTCTTTGGGTGATGTGAATTCTGTTTTCGGTAGGGATTTAATGAATTCGTCTAGTTGCGGTAAATGGATCCATGGTGCTCCTGGTTTAAATAGCTCGTTGATTTCGTCCGACTCGTCATATGCATTAAAACTAAATTTCGTTACTTTAGTTAAATCAAATTCAAGTGTATTGTTCTTATAATTATAATTATCATTAACATTATCCTTTTCGGATTTGAGAAACACCTCTATTCTTGTTAAATCAGGGACAGTTTGATTATTTTTCCGATAATTACGATTGAAATTACTATCGCGATTCCGAGCCGTTAAATCCGGCACAGAGTGATTTAATTTTCCGTAATCAGAATTCGCAATGTTATGTGGCACCATTAACGATAATTTCGTTTTTGATGATGTGTATTCGGGAAGATCGTGTGTTTGACTTTTTATCGAAGTGGCACGTATTAATTCCTTGTGTCTCTTCAATGTGTTTGTTGGTGATAATTGGCTTCGTTGGGGTAGAGTTATTGGCGTAGGGAAGGTAGAAGTAGATGGTGCTGGCCTTCTTAATGAATAAGGTCGTGGGCCTAGCACAGTTTTTTTTCGTTCTATCTTGTTGCTGTGATCATGATGGTGGGTCTTTTTGGACGATGTTGACTGTCTTCTTGGATACCGCGATTCTTGTAGATTTCTAGTTGTTGATATTTGACGCTTCTTTGATTCGCTTTTTGATTTGGTAATATTATTAATTTTAGATATTGAATCGGATTCATTAATAATAGTAATACTATTTCGATTATTACGAATACTAGTAGCAAAATTGCTATCAGTAATCAATTGTTCTTTTTTATTTTCATTAGTCATCGTCAAGTTGTCATAATTATCAAGAATAGATTCATTATGAGGAAAATCGCTATTTTTCTCGTTAATCTTCCCCATCATATAATTGTTGGTCTCCTGTGCTGATGCCAGCACGTGAGGCTTTTTACTGGATGAACCACCAATATATTTGGACCCAATCACTTTGTAAATATTAGATCTTCCTTTTAATTTTTGATTTTCAATGGTTTCATGGAAATCTGACAATATTGATGATGGATTCTGTATTGGATGGTTGTTGTTATTATCACCGGTGTCTGATGGTAATGGTGGTGGATTATTGTTATCACTCCTTTCATTATCGTGTTTTCTTTGGTAAAATGGGGATGTAGGAGATGATGGTGAGGCCAAATTTTTAGACGATCCGGATGAATTTGATCGATTTTTTTCAAATTTTGTAATTAGATTCGTGACTCTTCGTATTGGTGGGAGAGTACGACGCGGGGGTGGTTCTTCGGGTATTATTTCGTCATTATTAACATTGTCACGTTTTATTCCAATAAACGTTATATCCTCTTTGGACGGAGACGTTGGCGGTGGAATTGTAGTATTATTACTACTTGAATGAGACGGAATTATCACATGAGAATTATGAATTATCGATTTTGAAAGAGATATTGCTGCAGGTGATGGCTTTTTTATTATCTCTTGAATCGATATGCTATTACTTTTAGCATTACCATCGATTGTTTCGAGTCTAGGTTGTGGAATTGAGCTCCAATCGATCCGACCAATGTCATTTTTCTTTGATAGAGTCTGTATTTCAATAATCGAAAGACTCGACGGGGGTGTGGGTGGAAGTGAAGTAGTATCCACAGAAGACGATGATATCACGTCGTTTCTTTTGTGAGTAAACTGTTCATTACTATCGTTTTTGGTCGTATTACCATTTTTGTTTTTAGAATTACTATCATTAACTTCTTTTGGATTATTATTATGATTATTGCTGCCACTCAAAATAGCTTTGCTCGTTTCTTTTCGTGCTAGAGATTTCCCAGAGTTATTATTTTTGTTAACATCGGCGGAATTTGCATTATTGCCACCCCAAAATCGTATGAGGTCGTTAACCGGCTTTGAGGAGGAAGAAGAGGGGTTATTCGACATTCTTACCGAGAAAGAAAGAAAGATACTAATACTGAATAATACTACGAGTAGCCGTTGAAACGCCTTCCACTTTCATACAGGACTTTTGTTCGGATTTCTAAGGAAAAGGGGCAACAAAAAACCTATTTATTATTACTGTGTAGAGCAAGTACCAACTACATCATTAATGGAGATATTAGGGGGTTAAAGAAACAGCATGTATTCATTCATGATCAAAGGTAACCCACACAACAAACACGTGCATTTAATTCTTTAAATTACAGATGTCTATCGATATCATATCGTTATATATTATACATAATTATTTACTCTATCAATTAATACATTTACACAAAAATCAATCACCGTCAATTCCACCACCACCAATTAATTCGCCATAGACACGAAATCTTGACAAACAAGTAATTTCGTTCCCCCAGTTAGACTTGATACTGAATAAAAGATACCGTATTCCAGTCGACGGCTGCGCAGTGCTCGGAATCTCGAAGATTTGTAGGGGCATTTGGTCAATAGTGTGTGTAAAGTTGGCGATGAATTGAAAATCATGAAATGGCGCAGAATATTTTGTTCTAGTTACGAATCGCTTGATGATTGAAAGTAAGTTGTTGAACTTGGTGTAGTCATGGTGGTGACGTTGTTCATTGTCGGGGTTCTTTGTTATGGTGTAAATTTCGATTTCTTTGGGTGCACTGGTCAAGTCTGGGTCCATATGAGCATAAGCGATTGCCTTGATGCGTCGTAACCCTGATTTGAATTCGAGTGTTAAGTTTCCGACAACGCTCGAAAATGGACGACACCCTAAATTTCTTGGAGCTAATATTCAAAATATTAAAAGTCTTTATTTAATAAAAGAATAAAAAGGATTTATTGACTTAATTAATGTCTAATGTAACTGACTTTCATGACTCGAGACGAGATGTTGAAATGGTTGCATGTACGTAAAATGAGGCTCTCCACATGTAGGTGAGGTCAACTCCTTTACAACCTCAGCATTGACCGCATGATCTTTTTCATTCTTATAGAAATTATAAAGACCGACTAATTGCTTCAACTTTTTGACAGTTTGTTCATATTTATTAATTTGCTTTGTTGATTCTTCTCTTATCTTTTCCTTTTCTTTCTCGTTTAGACGCACTTTATTTGCTTGTTCTTGCTGTGATAATAATAAATTGTCACCAAGATAGTGATGATCACCTTTGCCTCCATTATCTAGAGTTTGGTTATTAGTGGTTGAATTCATAATTGCAGGTGTCTCGATCGGAGAAGATCCCGAAAGGTAAAAATATGCAATCGCTGACAACATAGCAAGGAAGATTAATGTCATCCATAAGACATTGTTGCTATTTTTGTTACGGAATTTATTCCTATTTCCGATACTATTTATAATATTACGTGGTTTAACCGAAATCAAAATTAGTATCATTTTTAGGTACAAAAAATTCTCAAAAACGCGTACTTTTTGTAAGTGGTCTCTTTCCACTTGAGAGTTCTCGATAATGCCCTTGCTCTTATTGAAATTTTTTCACTCAAGCCACGATGACTGAGCATTGGTGAACTTGAAAACGAAAACGATTTCTTGCCGTCGTCGTCGTCGTCCTTGATCTCTTGTTTAATTGGTACGTTATCATCATTATTAGTAGTAGTAGTAGTAGGTACAAGTGGTGATAGTGGACTTGTTATCGTATTTTGTAGTGCTGCTGCCTCTTTTGTGGTCATTGTTGAGGAAGTCTCCACATTTTTCTTCATTCTAAAGAGTAAAGGAGCAGTTTCTGAATTCACCATCGCGCCAAAATATAACGATTCCTCATTTTTCTCGGTCTCTTTACTATTATCAATGTTCTCGTTCCCGTTCTCTCTGTTGTCGTTGTTTTTGTTATTTTTATCTTCGAGCGAAGGCGAAGAGTCACTAAACAACTGTGACGGCGGAATATCAAAGACTTCAAAAGAGTTTGAGAAATTCCCATTCTTGCATTTTCGGTGGCGACTTTTGTACCTGGTTGTTTGGTGATGGTATTAGCGGTTGTGATAGTTGTAGCTTTAGTGTCAGTTATTTTTTTATTAGTAAAAGAAAATAATAAAGGAGATCGTCACTTTGGACATTCCACCATGTTGTAGTCTTGCATGTTTGTGAAGTCGAGGTATTTTTTTTTCGCATACTGTATACATTTTTTAAATATACATATCACATGATAATTAACAAAATCCAATTTTGAAGTCGTTATCAAAACCACCTATATATATTCGATTTTGTTTATTTTCATTAAAGTTCTTAAATCATCAATAGATAGAATCCTTCTAATTTCTATTCATTATGTATCCGTAAAGGATGTCAGTTCGATGAAGTGTATCCTTTCATTGTACAAGTTTATCCACCCTTACAACTCATTTCCGCTGTTAAATCTCTGTCAGCGCCCTGATGTTTGTTTCCCACAAGTAATATTTTCAACCACTCCAGATTTTCCAACTTTTTTAAGTTTCATTGTATTATTTATTCTCTGACTTCATTTGAATTGTTGCTCTCATGATGGGCTAATGAATTTGGCAGAGATGGGTAGTATTGTTGTGTGAGTCAAAGTTATCTTCAGATGATTTTAATAGTTAGATGATGATAATTATATGATAAAAGATGCTAGCATTGTTCAAGACACGCCCCTTTTAGATTAAGTGCCAAAGTAGTCCTATTTTAGTAATTGTTTCTCGTAATGACCCAGTTAGTATAGAACCTACATCATAGCATACAATTAGTATATTACTCGGGGTCGTGGATATAAGTTATAAAAGCCACCTCTGTCGCGTCATTTAGTGATTTAGTGTCACTCTAGCGCTAGGCGGTGCGATTTAAAAAAAATTACTTTGATTCGTTAACACCTGCTGCGATTTCCATTTTTAGATATCGAATGTCAACTGACTTTAATCTTGAACTTGCGTCGATACTTGATGGCAAGGCTTCTATCGAGCACCAAATAGATATTCATGGTGTGTGATACTAAACAAAACTTGATAATAAAAATTCGAATATGCTCATATTATTTATTACTTACTATAACGATAATATCGTAATATATTGATAGTCAATGATCTTTTCGGCGTAAAAGAAACTGACCAAGTTTCGCTAGCTGACGTGTTGGACGGCTTACGTTATGTCATGAACTACCGTATAAAGGGAGGCAGGCTTCCAAATTTGGAGCCTGACCTAATGAAGCGGTTATGTGAAGGCTTGTTACTGAATATGTCTGATACTGAGGGTGGGCTGTTGAAGAAGAAAATGACACCCGAGGCAGAGGAAGCGTTTATTCTTTTTGGAGAATTTTTGGAAGAAGGTAGTTAAGGAAGTGAATTAATGTAATATTATCATGCCTGATTATCTTCTTCAAACATATTTGGCTGATTTTTGATAATTGATTCTGATAATTCATGCTAGTCGAAGAATTTCGTCAAGCAGTCGGCCAAAAAAATGTATCTGATCTAGCCAACGCCATGAAACTTCACCGTCGTTGCCGTAACGACGCGTCACCAGAAGTAAAACAGGCCGTCGTAGCAGTCATTTACATGTTAACTGAATGGTTTCCACAGTTCTCGGATTGGCGGGAACTGGTTAAACGCGAGGAACAGAATGATGTCGAGAAGGTAATCAAAGATTTATCGGCTTCTTTTAAAAAGGCGAAAATGCCATCGCGTAAAGGCGTTCCGTTGCCTCCTCCTTGTATGTATGCTTACAGTATATATGATCATTAATACTTTTTAACGGTGATTAATAATAAAATTTTCTATCTTTACATCAGCATTGTATTTCGATCGTGATGTTACTCGATGCGTAAAAATGTTTCGAACATCTCTCACCGACGGACTTTCCTCAACTAATATTTCGCCACTTTTAGAACACTATGGTCCAAACAAGTTACCTGATCCGCCAAAACCGTCTGTCCTCAAAATGTTACTTCATCAATTGACCGATTTCATGGTTTTGATTTTACTGGCGGCGACAATTGTCACTGGAGCGGAAAAAGATTTTAAAGGAATGTCGGTTTTATTGGCGGTTATTATTTTAAACACGATAATTGGGTTCACGCAAGAGTATAAGGCGAATAAAGCATTAGAAGCGCTTACTAAATTGGCCGTACCTCAGGTATCTATTATATATTTCTATTAATTATAATAATTTATAAACTTTACTCTAAATACATTGATCATAATAATTTATCCAGGCGCAAGTTATTCGTGATGGTCAAAAAGTTGTAATTGACTCATCGCAACTTGTACCCGGGGATATAGTAATTCTTGAAGAAGGAGATTCTGTTCCGGCAGATGTCCGAATAGTAGAATGTTCTCAATTTGAAGTGATAGAGTCGATCTTAACCGGGGAAAGTTTGCCTGTGTCTAAAAACACCAAAAAAATTTGGACTAGAGTATGATATTCAGCATTAAACTGTTTTTGTTGTAATTTACGAAAAATTGTTCTTTTGAAATTTATATGTATGCTTTATAAATTAAAATATTAGACACGAAGCTTACCTTTGGGTGATTGTAAAGGAAATGCATTCATGTCCACTATGGTGGCAAAAGGTCGTGCTAAGGGTCTTGTTGTGCGAACTGGGAATAATACTGAAGTAAGTTTGATATTAATATAGTTAAATCTTTTTAATTAAATAATTTTTAATTATTATTTATTTAAAAGATTGGTAAAATTAGTGCTGCTATTACTTCCTCACCGAATATGCAAACACCGATCCAAAGAAAATTATCTCGACTTGGTATATGGCTTGTCGTGTTGGCTATAATATTATGTGTTCTTGTAGTGGTAATTGGATTGATATATAAGCGAAATTCAAAAGACATGATATCAGTTGGCATGAGGTGAAGTAACTATTTGTAATTTTAGAAAATGTCAACCACGATCGAGGACAAAAAATCAATGAGTTGATTACAATAAATTAACTCTTTATATTATAATAATTAACAGTTTAGCTGTCTCTGTAATTCCCGAAGGTCTAGTCGCTGTAACTACAGTAACAATGGCTATTGGAGTACGAAGAATGGCTGCCCGTAATGCTATCGTTCGCACATTACCAGCTGTGGAAACCCTCGGGAGCGTGACTGTCATTTGTTCCGACAAAACCGGTACACTTACCGAAGGAAAAATGGGTCCTAGTGAACTTTGGAGTGCCGATGATTCTCTTTATTCATTTACTAAACCAACCGTATTGGATCCTAATGAAGGCGAGATTGAATTTCTCTCGCCAGAATATCGTCAAAGAGTTTCTAAGCTGGGTCGAAGCTCAACTCCTAAAGTTTCGAAAACTCTAATAAAAAAAATTGATGACGACAATAATAATGAATTACCAATAAAGCCGCAACCTGTTACCCGTGAGCTAAATGATGCACCTGCTCATATGGTGGCAGCATTAATGATTTCGAGTTTATGTAATAATGCAGCTGTTGTAAAAAGTAAAAGTGAGGAGGAAAGCAAAAATTCTTGGAAAGGTATCGGAGATCCTACTGAGGTGAGGTGATTATAAGAAATTCGCTGAAAATAATTCAATCGACTAAAACTATATTCGTTGTTTTCCTTTATAGATTGCTTTAATCCTCGCTGCTCAAAAAGGAGGATTTTCTAAAGAATTTTGGGAGAAAAAACAAGGATTTACCAAAATTCGAGAGCAACCATTCGATAGTGAACGCAAACTCATGAGTGTTGTATACAAATTCGACTATTCGAATCTACCTGCCAATCTAAATCAAACCAATAAATACATAGTGATGGCAAAAGGGGCACCCGAGGAACTTTTACAAAAATGTACAAGTCGTCTTCCGGTTAGTAATTTTTCGAAATCACCAATAACGTTCGAACAAATCATCGGCGAGAAAGAAGGCACTCAAAATGTTCCATTATCTGATGATTTCGTGGATAAAGTATCCGAAGAAAGTTCACGGATGGCGTCTAATGGATTGAGAGTTCTTGGATTAGCATTAAAAACTGTTTCGGTTGCTGATGAATCTTTGGAAGCTTCGTCCTTGGAGGAAATAATTGTTGTCACCGATGACAATGAATCAGTAGTGGAATCAACGTTGAATCCTGCTTTTGCTGAGAATGAGTTCACCTTTGTAGGGTTGATTGGATTAATTGATCCTCCGAGAGCAGGGGTGGCTGATTCTGTGCAGAAATGTAAGGACGCGGGCATTCGTGTTATTATGATAACCGGTGATCATATAGCGACAGCTACTGCGATTGCCACCGATATTGGTATATTTGAACCTGGTGTATCTGGCATGGTAAATATATTGAAATTATATAATTATATAAGAGTTATATCTTTCATTAATAATCCTTCTATTAATTAAAACGTGAAGAATCGAGCTATCAGAGGTGTGGACTTAGATTTGCTCTCTGATGATGCAATCGCCGCACTAGAACCTTTTCCTAATGTATTTGCTCGTGTCAGGTAATTAAATTTGTTTCCAATCGTTCGTATTCTTTCTAACGATGATGATGAAAACCTTCTGCAATAATTGTGAACTATTAATGATCACTTCTATTCAAGTCTCTGAGTCAATTGCTTTACATAGCAACGACAAAAGTGATGATAATTTGATATTTAATTATAATCCTTTTATTTTTATAAAATAGTCCAAATAATAAACTCAAAATTGTAAAGGCACTACAAGACCTTGGCAATTCGGTGGCTATGACTGGAGATGGAGTTAATGGTAATTGAAATAGAATCAATTTATCTACTAAGTTCCACCAATACCAAATTTGAATTCTTATATTTAAATTTCGACTACAGATGCACCTGCAATAAAAGCTGCCAATATCGGTGTAGCCATGGGCATAAGTGGCACTGAAATCACCAAACAGGCAGCCGATATAATTCTCGCCAACGATGACTTTTCCACGATTGTGTCTGCGGTCGAAATTGGTCGTCAAGTGTTTGACAATATTTTGAAATTTATTGTGTATCTTTTGAGTTGTAATGGTGCCGAAATTATTGTATTTTTGCTTTCGGCGTCGATTAATTCTGATTTACCTTTTACGACAATTATGATTTTATGGGCGAATATTATCGGTAAATAGTGATAGTTTTTTTTTTCATTTTCATGTAATATTCGAGGGTTATCAACATTGATTGATTATATTAAATTAATTATAAAATAGCTGATGTTCCACCAGCCATGTCTCTTGGCGTGGAACCTGGTGAAAAAGATATAATGCGACGTCGTCCTCGAAATCCCAAAGCTGGTGTATTGGACAAAGTTGCCATTGTAACACTCACCACGCAATCATTCGTCATGGCATTATCATCTTTTGGGATCTATCAAATTGCACTGAAAATCGAAGATAAACGATTAGAAGATGCGCGATCTTTGGCTTTCGCGACTTTGACCACCTTGCAACTCTTACAAGGGTTTTTGTCTAGGACATTAAACATTAGTGTTTTCAAAATGGGATTTTTCGGTAATAAGGTTTGTATCTATCTATCTATCTATCTATCTATTTATTTATTTATTTATTTATTTATTTATTATTATTATTATTATTATTATTTATCATTAATTCTCATTAATTATCATCATTATTATTTATCATTAATTCTCATTAATTATCATCATTATTATTTACTTATAAATTTGCTTATGAATTTCAGTGGATGATTGGCAGTGTTCTTGGCTCTTTCATAGCAATGTTAATCGGTGTTTATGTACCAGGTATTTTCTTCATGATATTTTTATTTTATTCTCCATTTAACAAAAATATATCTGCTATAAAAAATTTCCTTAAAATACGAGTGACTTTGAAAACTATTCATAATAGCAATTGAATTTACTAATAGTTTACCTTCTTTATTTGAAGTGATACGTGATTGGCTCGAACTCACTCCTGTTTCCGGATTCGGATGGTTGAAAATCATCATCTGTTGTATGGTCTTGATTTTGACTAGTGAGTTTACAAAGTGGTATGGTCGCCATGTTCGGAATTCGGCTGTTAGAGCAAACCAGCAAAAACTAAAAAAAGTGGAGACAGAGGACGAAGAATCGAAGTGAACTTTTTGATATTTATATATTATTGCAATAGAGAATAAATACAGAGAAACCTCCCTAAATACACACCAGCCATAAGTATGCATTTATAAAGGGTGTGCATTTAAAGAAAAAACCCAAATCACTATATATATCCGTTATTGTCATTATTACATGAAGAATTTTATTATTGTAATTATTAATCTAATTATATTATTAAAATATTATTGATCAAAGTAATCTTCTATATGAAATTGAGTGTTATAGCAACCGGGATTTTTCCAATAATTACTTAAAGAAATTTTTCTAAATGCATTCTCTTGGAACCAGCCATAAGCATGCATTTATGTAGGGTGTGCATTTAAAGAAAAACCAAATCATTGTATATATCCATTATTGTCATTATTATATGAAGAAATTATCATTGATGAATTAAATAGAATGACAAATTTTATTGGTTGATCACAAAAACGTATAAAATATAGACATCTACTTAAAGTTTGGAACTGGATTAAAAGTGCATTCAGGGAGGATGTGTACTTATAAAGAATGCATTTAGAGATTTTTTTGTATTAGTAGTATTAATCGAAATAATTAGTAATATGTAAGTTATTCTCTTTATTAATTAGAATTTGTTAACAATTAAATACTTTTTCATTTCAAAGACTATTAATTCAATTAAATAAATTTTCGAATACAGTCAAAGTTCTTTATAGCAATATTATATACATTGAATTCGGCTTATATCATATTGATATCCTAATTTTAATGATTTTTAACTATTTAAAAACTCTATATATTGAAGTTTATAATTTAAATATTATATATCAATCCAAGAACTTTGATTATAGTTATAGAATTTTTATTATCACAGTATATAAAAATACCAGTAAATCATATATTGCATTATTGTTTAACAAACATCAAATATATTAAGTTTTCAAAGAAAATTTCTCTTCAAAACAAGCAACTTGCAAAAATTTATATAATTAAAAGACTGATTACAAAGCTTAGTTCAATTATATCAAAAATCAAGTCAAGTAAAACAATGTGTAATTCAAATTAAAAATGGTATTATAATTAGAATGAATCTAATTGGAACATTCTGTTTTAGAAACTATCATGAAAAATCAGTTTTAAAAAAATGTTGATTTTTATTAAACAAAAATATAATAATTATATATTTATTGAAATTTTCTAAAGCAAGATAATTTTACATAATATATAATTTGATCTAAATTGTAATTATATAACCAAAATTGAATAATCAATAAAAATACTATTATTGACTTATTAGTAACAATAAGCTTTAATAAATTCATATTAAATGTATTAAAAATAAATTTTTAAATTACTTTAGAAAAATATAGCTATAATTTTAATTATATTTTTAAATTAGTTTCAGTTATTTTCTAAATTATATTATCAATTTCAAAATTCATTTTTAAAAAGTACTAATTACAAAGTTTGCAAGAAATTTTATAGTATTTTGGTTGACAACAAAAATAAACTGATTATTTAAAAATTTTATTTAATAGTTATTGATATTATTAAAATCAGATTTTTAAAACAAAAACTTTCATTTTATTTGAAATATTAATAAAAAATATCAAATATTTATTAAAAAACCAACATAAAAAAATTGAATATCAAAAAATTTTTACTAATTCTAACCAATATCAATAATCTCAAAAAATATCAAAAAAAATTAGTTAACTTTAAATATTTATATTTTTTTAATATTTAACCAATTTTTGTAATTTGAATACAAAGAATATTTGTTTTAATTAGATGAATTAAATAAATCTGAGTTTGCAAAATTCTAAATATAAATCAGTAAATAATTATTATCTTATAAGTTGTTTAGCATTTGCAATTTTTTATATGTTAATTATGAATATTAATATATCTAATATTATATTATCAAGTATAATATAATTTGAATTAAATAAATCTGAGTTTGCAAAATTCTAAATATAAATTAGTAAATAATTATTATCTTATAAGTTGTTTAGCATTTGCAATTTTTTATATGTTAATTATAAATATTAATATATCTAATATTATATTATCAAGTATAATATAGTTAAATTAGTTAGTATTATATAATTACAAAAGTATTATTTGAATTATAATATTAATTCAAAATATAAAATATAAAATATAATGTAAATATTATATTATATATCTATCTTATTTTTTCTATATCAAGCTTATAGTTTAGTAAGAGAAAAATAACTTGATCAAATAATAATCAATTAATCTAATTACAATTTGATCAAGTTATTTTTTTGTATAATCTTCTTTCATCAAATTATAAGCTTGATATGAAAAAATAAAATGAATATAACTTGTTATTACTCATTATATATATAATTTTTTGATTATATTATACTTTTTTGCTTAATTATTAATATATAATTCAAATATTTTTATCAATATTATTTTAATTTTGTTAATTAATAATATTATATAAATCCAATATAAAATCAAACTAAAAACTAATTTAAATTTATAATAATACTAATAAAATAAAAAAATCAAATATTTATTAATAAAAATCCTTATATTTAATAAACTCAGTATGAAACAAAATTAAAAATTAATTATATAAATTATTAATTATTAAAAACGAGTTTGATCACTTTTCTTATTTTATTAATATTGTGAATTTTATATATTGTTACCATTTTGATGGGGTTTTCAAAATACTCAAAGATATTTATAAAATTTAAGGAATATTCAAAGAGAAACTTTCAATGTCTTAATGACAATTCAAAATCTTAATAATACTTTATGGCTTTAGACTGAATATAAACTAAAGTATGATAAGTACTTATAGAATCACTTAAAGATTGGTAACAATTGTATTCTTTAACGCAATAACTGGACTGCTTAAAAAGAGTCCTCAAAATCTCAATATCAAATATAATGTACGTATTAAAAATGTCTTTAAATCTTTAAAGTCAGAATATAAGATTTAATATTCATATTATCCACAATATGAATCAAAGATAAATGTGTTGAACAATGTATTATTAGCAATACAAAGTCAAAGGTAAGTTTATGAGCAATGTATTATTAGCAATACAATCTCAAA